GCTTGCTACAAGATTGAAAAGAAGTTAACAACAATGAGCTTGGATATTGAAGTTTCAACTTAATCACCTAAAATTGCATCTCGTTACAAAGTACTTTCCATAAAATTACGTAAGAATATTTTTTAATTAATTTGAATCTAAGTTAAAAGAATTTTCACGAGTAAACTTCGATTATCTCATTTAGTAGTAGTATCTAGAAGTAGAGGTTCTACGATTTTTTCTCATTTAGAAAATAAGACAGAAACTCATTTTATTATTAATTTAAAATAAGAAAGAAATTTATTACATAAATTTCGATTTTGAATGGTTTTTCGACTTTGAGTGGTTTTATTGATTATATTGATATAGTTACGAAACTTTACGCGAATTCATGAACTGATGCTTGCAATTATTAAAGAGATGTCATATTTAAAAATCGTATCGTCAAAATACTGACTTCTCTCTACAAAATTTATCTTGTATTGATTGCACAAAATTACAAATGCTTTTATACAGGGTGTCCCAGATCACCATTCTTAAACTTCGCGAAAGTATAGAACAGATTGAGATGAACATATAGAGTGGAATTTATAAACATTACTTGAGACCTGTCTTAAGCACAGTCTTTTTCAAGATCAGCTTAACACTCAAGATCGTCTTATAATAGTCTTACATGCATAGTTAAATCTTGAAAACTCGAGTTTGAGCTTAAGCTTGTCTTAAGAAAGCTTATACTTAAGCTTCCAACTTCGGAACTATTCGGGATTTTTAACTGTATGACCAATGATATTGAAGTTCTACAAGTATATAAATACGTAACGCGCGCGGAGTTTAAATGATATTTTATGTATATCGAAAACTCTTTGATAAAAAGATATAATTATATCTGATTCAAAAATCAAACAATAATTATCTTATTACTACTTAAAAAAACGTGGTTAAATTAAGTTAAATTTATCATTTTATACAAATTATAAAATGACTATCTATAAATTATAATAAAAGAATGTATAAATGTAATTATATATATATATATATATATAGTTTCTATAATGCAATAAATTATTTCAAAACAAGTGTTAAAACATATTAAAAATATTTAGTCAATATGAAATTAATATTTGCAAACGAAAAGATTAAATTAAATGCAAATTAAATAAAACGAATATCAGTCGAGTAAAAGTAGAATCGCAATAAACATTTAGGAACAATGGCATTGTACCAATGTTATAATTTCTCACAGAACAATGTAATGGTAACATAATACGTGTGGTACATAACATTATATTGTTTTGTAGAAAAATTATAACACTGATGTAATGTTACAGTCCCTCGTTGTTTACAGCGAATTTATTTAAGTCCGATCTAATCTATTTCACTTGTCAAATGCGATAAACGTCTATAAAAGTGCGTTCAGAAAACTGTCTTGAATGTACAATCTTTCCTGTTTTGTGTTTGAATGAGAAAGAAAGTGGAATGAGAATTGGAGAGTAAGCATATCCAGGTGAATGTCCAAACACATCTTGCTATATTTTTTATTTCATGACCGCCTCAAGTCGACAATGTATTAGACTTGGATAAAATTGGCTTAAGATGTAGCTTAAACAGTTACTGTGCATCTCATCGTATCAAGTAGTACTTAAGATTAGACTATGACATGGTGTTTACTTAATTAAGCATGGACTTAAGATTCAGCTTGAAATTCAATCTCAAGTAATGTTTATAAATTACTCGTGGTTTTGAGCATTAGCTTAAATCGGTTTTGAAACTCAAGACATGTCTATGAATTCCGCCCATAAAAGTTCAATGTTTATAATAAATCCCGAGATATTAATTAGAGAAGATTAGTGAATGATCACGCGTGATATGGTAAATGAGTTGTAGTGGCGATATATGCTGTAGTGTGCTTCTACATTAGGTCGAATGAAACAAAAAATCCTTTAACATTTGCAAGTAACTACGTGTATTTTTAATTATTCATGAAAAAAAATTATTACATGATTACGCGTGGTAATGCAGAAATTTTTGTTAATTAATATCTAAAAATTTACGTAGTCACCTGCAAAATAATAGAAGACTTTTTTGTTCAGTTTGATCTGATGTATAAATATACAATGTAGACGCTATAAATATACAATGGTAGACGCTATATAATGGTAGGGCGCTACTACAGTTCATCTACAGCTCCATATCGCGCACATGATCATTCATCAATCTTCTTTAATTAATATCTTGAGATTTATTACAAATATCGCAAAATGGTAAGGGACTTTCATGTTTACTTCAATCTGTTCTACGCTCTCGCGAAGTGTGAGAATGGTGATCTAAGACACTCTGTATAATAAAAGTATGCACAAAAATTAGTTAGTACATTTCTCAATATTTAATGAAAATAATAAAAATAAAAAGTTTCAAAATATACGTTTCGAACTCTCAGTTAGTGTAAATTTGCCGGATATAAAAATTTTACAATTTGTGCATACTGAAACTATGATTTCTACGCTCAAGAAAATTTTAAAATTGTTTCTGTATCTCTAAAATTGAAGTTAGAAGATTAGGAGGATGTCGGAGAGCCACGACGACTAGTTTTTGTTGTTTGCAAATTTTTTTATTTGGCTTCACGAAATTGCAAGTCCTTATACAGGGTGAGTATATATATTAAGGCATAGCATTGCCGTTATAAAAAATGTAAAAATATTTTTGTAACTACCTAAAAAGTTTTTGTAAGTTTTATATGATGTCTGTACCTAACTATTTTATTTTCGCTTTATGTAAAAAAAATTTAGTATTTATATACATAAAATAAAAATAGAATATCATGCTAACAACTTGCAAGAATATCATAAGACTACTAGAATACACTAAATTTTAAAAAAACTTGCAAACTGTGATTTGACTCCATATATGCCAGCGTATATCTAGTAAATTGTGTAAAGAAAGACAGTACACACGCGCGCGCGCACATACATACGCACACGCATACGCACACGCATACTAGTTCCCGAATAATCCGTTAAAAGCGTTAATGCTATCTGTTTGACTATATGCAAATGAATCGAATTTGTACATACATCTAGTAGACGTATGTATGTGAACACGTACATTAACATAAAGTCATATAAAAATCGTAGTTACTACTACGCCTCTAACTCAATATTAGCGAACTGCCTATAGCACACTGATCTTTTCTACCTAAACTTTTCGTTTTCTCACGGCACTCCAACATCCTCTTAAAAATATACGAAAAGTGTGCAAAAAGATTTCTTTCTATTTTCTACTAAGCATAATAAATCAAAATAGTACAAATTTTTATATAAAATTTATATATACAAGAAAACCGAAAAAAGTAAAGTGATCGTGTTTGTGCTGATCTGACATTTTGGTAATTGCCTCTACGTTATCAACATTTTTGGAGCTCATCAACCACTTTGGCATTTCCTTAAGGTAATTGTGTCGCGACAATAATCATCAAGAATTTAGTAATCTAATAAAAAGAAAAAGTTCTCATTCTCTTTACTAGACCACAAACTGTTATCAGTGAAATATATCCAACTTTTACGTACAAATTTGTATTACATAGCTAAAGTGCATGCGTCAAATAAGCTGACAAGGAGAACGCGACTTCCTATACTAATATTTTTTATAATTGCTACTCATAAACATTTACATCAAATTGAGTCATATTTCAACTATATTGTCAATTTTTAGCTATAAATGTCAATAATAACCTCATATATTCATATATACGTACACTATCATGCCAACCAATTGCTAAGTAACTGATTGTGCGAACTTATTTGATGTATGTGCAAAACAGCATTTTTAGTACATATTTTTAAAAGACACAAATATAGAAAGTGTACCGGTATAAAGAAAGTGCGCAGTATATTATATATAAATCTGTAGTTGCTATCGCAAACTTTTGATTGAGATTGTGTCTATTATACACATAAAAGAATTATACATGCTAGATGATGCTAATATACGTTAATTATAGTAACTTTGCATCTGTCAGATTTTTTTCTAACTTATTCCTTCTTTAACCTATTTCTGTTAGAGCAACTTTTAACACTATCGTTACATCTTCATTGCTAAAATTCTGATGTTAAATCTATAGAATTAAAATAAATTGGGTATATATTATTTACTTTAAACGATTATACATCTCTGAAAACAAATAATCAATTATTTTGATATTTTTATATAACATCGGCATTAGTCTTTAATATTATAAGATAATATTATTTTTCATTAACACTTCATACATTAATGTATGGATAAGATATTAAAAATAGAATTTAAGTATAGTAAGCTAATTTCAAAAAATACCAGAAACGTCAACTTCAGTTACAAATATCTTAGTTCCCGAATGGTCAATCTTTTTCTATTCTCTATTAAAACGTCCATTGGGACGTTTAGGGATTTTTTCTAATTGTGCACACAAAAGTTAAGAAGATTAAATTATATTCTAATGTATCTATGTAGTGCAAATTTCAAATAAATTTCCTTAGAACTTATTTTATGATACAACCATCTTAAAAGTAACGATCAGTCTTAAGTAACGATTATGTCTTTTATATGTCTTTTATACGTTAGCGAATTGACAAATTGCCTGTAAAATGCGTTCTTCGCGCATCAATCGTGTAACGGCGATCGATAATCTACGATAATAAATTACTAATTACTCGCTCGAACGCAAATGGAACACTTAGTTGCAAAATAATTTAGACACAATGAAATTTTACTGAACTGTCAGAATTGAGAAAATCATTACTTCCGTAATAATTATATCATTAATATATATTATTATTATATATTTATTATTTCTAATTATATAAATTATATTACTACTACATAAGCAATCAATAATGGCTCTCAATTTTGACAGTTTGGTAACTTTCAACTTCATTGTGTCTAAACCTTTCTGCAACCGACTATACATCCGTGTTGAGCGGGGAAACTCGCGAGGCGAAGAGGATATCGAGGATACGCTATAATCTACGACGGTAAAATAAACTCACCTGGTAAGGTTCCAGTATGCGGCGTAGCTCTCCCGACTCGTTAAGCCGCTCGACTGTGTCGACACCCTGTAACGAGTAAGAAAAAAAAATGTGAAACGCAGGCATTTAATAGCACGACATTTAAACCGTTCAAGTTGTTCGACGCTTTCTTTCCGCCTCGCTCATTTCATCTAACACCGGTCACCTAACACTCAAGCATGCCATAAGCAGAACTTCTCTGGTATGTCAGGCACGTTAAAAAGTTCCAATCTGCTTATTTCTGTCGAAGACAATTGGCACTGCAGCTCGTCACACACGACGATGTAACGTTCTCGGCCTGTCATCGTAGAATGCGGCTATACAAAAGAATCTTATCTTGTGCTTCCTGATCTTCTTTGCGAATGTACATAAATAGCTGTGCGCATCGACTGTAATAGCTGCATCGTACATTTTCATACCACTATTAATGAGACTCTTAATGAAGTACCAGATATCTCGTTTGCAGGTTTGAAGTGCCTCTGATTTATTCAAGAAAGAAATGTAGCTCCTTCTTCCGTTTCAATCGTAAAAATTAGTACCTTATAGATAGCTTAATTATACTGCGATATTTGAATGGAAGATTCAAAATCGAACAAATATCTCGCGAATTCGTGAACAAGAAAGGTGGCAATAATGCTGAGAACGCTCGTTTGTCCGCAGACGCGCGCATGTCTCTTGTAACTTTATATATGATGTAACGTGATACAAGTTTTACCTTGTGATTGTAGTTATGACCGGTGTACTCCTTTCACCAAACACGACGCAATTTGTTGAGCTGTCAAACGTACGACGATAAGCGAGAAACAAGGTCGAGATGACGAGCACACGGAGTAACGCGACGAAAAGGTGTGAGAACGCTTCGTCGATTTTCGGCGCTGTTCGGCTATTTTGTGCAAAATAATTGCATGACGCGGTAAGATAGGAATGCAGTTCGGGTAGGTTTGCGTGTGTACACTTGTGTGCTAGACACGAGCGTCCATAAGGCAGTGTAACGCAGGCAATCTCACCTCGCGTTCTCTCCGACGGCCTTGGATCAAATAGCTTGACATTTCACTTACGCATATATCTATTCTTCCAACTATCGATTGGTAGAAGTAACTCTCGAGAAACTAATAACGCGGCAGAGACCAGGAAATCAAATAACAGTACGATCGACTTTATGAGCTCAATTTAGATTATTTATTTAATATATAAGTATTTTTTGTCAGGAAAATTGATATTAAGTTTTTAATATAAGCAAGAAATTCAATATCATGGTTTTAATAAAATTATGTTACATCACGATTTAATGTAAATAAAATATGTATATATATCTGTTTATAAAGATAGATTGCTATTATAAACAGATTTTATAAAAAAACGGAACTAAGTTTTAAATTGAAAATATTATTCAAAATCAACATATTTATGATGTCAAATGTAACACAAAAACTAGGTGTACAAATGAATAATAATATTTTATTACTATATAAAATAATATAAATATGTTATTTTTACTTTGAAAAATACATTATATTTTTTTATTACGTTATTTTTAAGATGCTGTAAATAAATTGATCTGAGATGTTTTAAATTGTGTGCTATTTAATTAATTAAATTGATATCGCCTTTAGGAAATTTGCTTATTACAAACGAGATCGAACTCGAGAATTTTAAAAGTCGCCTACTCCTTATATATCTACTATATACTACTTCTTCTCTAACTTCATTCATCGTACGTATTATAATCAAACACACAAATAATTTGTAACACTGAAAGAGTTAATTGTAAATTGTAAGTGTAAATCGACTTATATTTACTAAATTACTTAATTATTTCCTTAATTTTTTACTTAGCATAATGAATGTTTATCTACTTTGTAAATGTTGAGCCATTTTTTTAACATTCTGTATATGCTGAATATTGATTTAACACAAAATATCTGGATAACTCAGACATAATATATTGAATTAACATACGAGCATATTGAAAATTTAACACAAAAATTTAAACAAAAACTGATTTTAATACAAATACAAAATTATGCAGTAAATTGTGCAGTAAATATTTAATATAAATGCAAAGTAATCCGTTTATTTTTATATAGAATAACATGAAACTTCTTTTTTTCTTTTTTAAATTAAAAGAAATAAAAGTTTGATTATACTTCGTAAAAACTTCTTTGTATGTATTATAATAATCGACGACACATTGAAATAAAAAACGGTCTAATTAATTTTTCCATCATATATGTACACGTATATGATATTTACGATTTCATCAAAGTATATTACTGAGATTACTTGGAGAGCGTGTAAACACAATTAAAGCATGTAATAATCCACGACACATTGAAATAAAAAACGGTCTAATTAATTTTTCCATCATATATATACACGTATATGATATTTACGATTTCATCAAAGTATATTACTGAGATCACTTGGAGAGCGTGTAAACACAATTAAAGCATGTAATTACGAGGATCTTTACTACGTTGCAGTAAAATACTTTTATGAAAACGTATATATCTCGCATGTATTGCGCGACAAGCCTTTATTACTCTTATTGTGAATAAGTGTGTTTGCATCGTATATATTGTATGTAGATATTAGTTTTGGTAAGCACAATCTGATTAGGTACTTTTCTTAAAACATTTGATCTTTTTCATTTTTATTGAGAATGTTGATTACTATTATAAATATAAATATTTTATTTATAAAAAAATATTTACTTATAAATATTTATTTATACTTTTAGCGAAAAATAAAAGTTCATACTTTTAGCGAAAGATAAATTATTGATAGTCGGTGCTCCATTTGTGGTCATTGCTCTATTTGTGATAACTTCAAGGAATCTTTCGAATTATTTAGTTTATGTTCGCGTTACGTAAGTGGCAATATTTTGTTTTTACAGCATTTCTATTAATCATGCTGCTCGCTAACGAATGTAGAATTTTCTTTCTACTTTAACTAAATATTTATAACCGAAGGTAAACGAACTGCTGCATTTTCTTGTGCAAAATATTAAGGATACGAGATGAGATAAACGTTAGAATTATTATATAAAAAACACGATTGTGAGTGAATGTTTCTATAATCGGCTTATAGAAAGTCTAAAAGTTAATCTCAATATGCATAACGACGTATTTGATTCCTATTAAGCAAAAAATAATAGGTATCGAAAACTAGATCATATATTAATATAATATATTAATATAATATAATACATTAATATATAATAATTAATATAAATCTATTTTTGGCCATAGGGTGGCCAGACCTGGTTGTTGCATTGTTCCAATTGTGGCCAACAAAAATAACGAATGTGTTTTGTGTAAAATTATAAAATTTTTAAAATTTGTAGCATTACAAAATCCATGTTCTGATTTTTACTGGCCTTCACTATCGTGCTTGAAAAATTATAAAAGTATAGTACAGCTATTTATCTGGAAACAAACTTTACAC